AGTGGGCGTGTCTCTGGCATATGGCGCACTCCAACTTCGGCTTCCTCAGCTACTCACGGAGTGACAGTGCGATTCAGTAGCCCAACACCCCTATTTTGTGTCGTGTTTAAAAACTGAGCGTGTGAATCCTAATTTGAATTGGAATTCCGAGATATATAGATATATAGGAACACAAGACTTATATACGCTACTATGGTATTTGACTTTAGTGTAGTTCGCAGTGCGTATACGTCACGTGGTACAACAACTCTCATTCTGATCAGATCGTCAACTATTCAGTTCTCTTCGCATGTTCACTCTGAACTATGCCGATGAGCTTTAGCGACAGCCGACAAGGTCATTGGCCCAAGTCATTTACCCGGAATTTGCTTTGGAATTTGTGACAATTCGCAAGGCATAAGCATTGCACTGCCCGCTGCCTGCTCGTATCTCATCAGCCAGTTGCTTATCGTCAATTCCAAAAAGAGTGTCGATAGCGCACGTTGGCACTTCGTTCTCTTTCAATTTACAATCTATCTGGCAGCGTCGCAATGTGAGCTTCATGTGGAGGAAACATGACTCAATTCGCATGGCTTTCAATTTCGAGCAGGCCACAGTGCTCGAGCTGCCAAACCTTGCCAAGTCCGTGTCAATGCTGACTCATTACTAGCTCAGCTGGAGCCCACAAGAGCTGGACTATGACTGGACTCTCATGCTACTCGACGACTCTTGTTTATTGTTTGTTTAGAACAGCCAATGATGTAGCTATCTAAATGTGCCAACTGGATCGACTGATCGCTCGAGCCTCGCCCTCTTGCCTGACTTTTACCTGAGTTTAGCTTTTGATTAAAAAAAATTCATTAGGACAAACCAAGAAACTTCTTCCTCTCCTACTCAGTCTATTGCATTGACACGCCCAACGTGGCCAATTGCAGCGCATGCCTCATGCATTCAGCTTTTGTGCACGATTTCAATTAAGTCTTCAAGAAGGAAGGAAGCATGCAAACCGAGCCAAATCTGATGAAGAGTATATCAAGCTTATAGAGTCTTGCTCTTGCTGACTGTCACAAATATTTGAATATGCCCAGAGCAAAGGCAAGACACATTTAAGATTCTCAACTTTAAAAGTTATCGATAGCTTAGCAGCTACTAAGATGGTGTTATCGATAATAGTATTATCAAAAATAGTGTTATCGAAATGGTCAGTATACACTTTAGCTGCATAGTGACTGCCAGTCGTGCATACCCCGCGCTAGCACTCAAGAGCAGACATTTGAACGGCTACTTCACTTAACTGCGAGGCTTCTTTGATTGGATGCCAGACACGTGTCTGAGCTGCTGCTGCTGCTGTTGTTGTTGTTGTTGTTGTTAGTAGAAATTTAACAAAAGCTGTTACCGCTGCAGTTGCCAATTAGGGAAACTGCATTTTTAATTAGATACCCACAGCAACACACACATACACGCATGTGCACACGTACTCCTAGCATAGGACGAGTGTTGAGTGCGTTGCGTATACGACACGTCTGACAGGCGATAAATTAAAATAGTATAAAAGAAATTGGCTGTTGGCACGCTGTGCATCTGACATGTATATCTACATATGAGTGTGTGTATGTGTGTGTGTGTGTGTGTGTGTGTGTGTGTGTTGCCCGTTGAGAGTTGCTTGACGCTCAACCATGTGCATAAATCATCAAAAAATAAATATATGAATATTTTCACGAATTGCCAAGCATATTAAAAAATAAAAACAAAAATAAAATGTATAAAAAGCAAGTTGCAGCAGTGGTGCAGAGCGAGACGGAGAGACAGAGATGCCACGCGCCTAGCTAATTTGATGAGCAGCCGCCGTGGTTGATGTTGCCCGAGGGCTATTGGACTTTTGGGGTCACGCTTTGGGGTCGAGCAAGCTGCGCTTTGTCAGGCATTTAGTTCGCGTGTGGTGCATGTGGTGCGCTGCATGTTGCACAAACGACGACAAATGACAGACGGACTTGTGAAGTGCACTCAGCGCGATCAAAAACAAACAGCAGCAATGTCAGCTAATGCTGCAGCAGCAGCAAAGCTCACACACACACACACGCTGTCAATTGACTTTAGTGTGTGTGTGTGTGTGGTTGAAATCGTTTGAAATTTCGAACTGAACACCTCCACGAAACTTAGCTATGCAGTCGTCCACATAACATGTGAGCCATTGGGTGTGCCTGACTAGTGGATACCCTACATTGAAATATAAAACATTCTAAGCTTATTGCACACTAAAGAACTTAAGTTTATGTTGTTAAGGAAACTATTTTAGAGGCAATTGGACGAGGTATTCCAAATGGAACCTCCCAGCTATATATAGAGTCATTTATCGATTATAGTCATCGACTTATTGATAATATCGATTATAGACCATTTGCTGATTTATCTGGCATATATAACTAATATAGCTAGATAGACTGAGCTTTCTGATCAAGAATATGTCCGATATACCCTAAACAGCTCAGTTCAATTGGTGCAGACTGCAGTTAAAGGCTGTGATATTGATACTGTGCTATTTACTAATTTGTGGTATGCATTCAAACGATAATCATAATTATATATATATATATATATATATATATAAATGTATATATATGTATATATGTATTTTGTGTATCTGCGTTTGTTTTGCTAAGTTCAGTCCATTAGAGAAGATGAAGGTCCATTCTACAGCACAGAAAATGATTTACGAGCCAAATGATGCCGACTATTGAATACCCTACTCAAAGTACAAGAAAATTCATAGCACAGATAAGAGTTTGCTGGAAAAATCTTAAAAAAAAAAGAGACAGCAAATAGTGATATGAAAGAGAGAGAGAATAAATAATTATGCACACATGTTTACCTATATCAATTCCTGTGTGATACAGGATATCTCTGCTTCTAGCACTTTCTGCCTATGGATATGTAAAATTAATTTGGCTAAAATTGAATTGAATTGCATTGTAAAAGTTAGATTTTAATCTGCTTGCGCCACCTGCATATGAATCGACATTTAAAATTCTAGCAATCAAATCGAAATGCGCTTTTCATGCAAATTATATGCGTGTGATAAGGTATTCTATAGTAAAACCAATTAAATAATACAGTTAAGCGCATTTCAGGCAAGAGCTAAGCTCGTTTTATATATTTCAGAAAGAGAAAAACTAATTCATTCGTATCATTTGGCTTTGTTTAACTGTTAGTGTAGATTTTAATTCTGTTTTATTTCAACTTCACAATAATTAAGTCAGTGAGCAGCGTATTAGCCTAACAGCTGAACTGCATACTGAATGCAATATAAAGAGATAAATATATAGGCCATATGGTCAGCTCTGCTCTTAATCTCCAATACACTATCGCTTGTCTCGCTCACACACAGGCAAACCTCATCTCAGATATCCTTGAGTCAACAAAATGTATCTTGGGGTCTCTTATACGCAAGCATTTGTCTTATACAACACTTTAAGCAAATGCAAGCGCACACAATGAGAGAGAGAGGGAGGGATGATTGTCGATCATTTATGCTATCTTTGGTTATCTATTATGTTTAGCACTATGTCACTTCCGGGTTATTTCGCTTGCATCCATTTCCGTTGCAGCTGCGACTGGAGCTGTTCGACTACTCAAGAGTTTCGCTTTACATATTTAGTCCAACGGCAAACGTATACAGATTATTTGTATTAAGCCATATGTTTCCGTTGCAATCTGGGGCCCAGTGACCTTGGTCAAGTGGGGCACTTCGGGCGTGTCCCCCACCCACAAAAAAACACACACAAAAAAACAAATCTAATGCCGACCGCAGTGAATTTGAATCAATTAAAATAAATATGTTACTCAATTGATGCGGTGTAGAGATATACACTCACGAGCACATAAATGGGGTATATTGAAATTGCTATGCATATGGCAGCACTTTTATCTTACTGTGAATAGAGACAGAGAGTTCTCTCACATACACTCAAACTCACGCAAGTTATTGGAGTACATCGAGATTGCCAATGCATATCGAAATATTGCAAGCTAAAGAGAGCGAGACGCAGAATTCTCTTATATTAACACAACAATCAGCAACAGTCCAAAATTGATACATATGTATCTATCTATACGCATGTGAGAGCATGAGTAAGTCGGCGTATTGAGTGCCCTCTTTCTTCAATGCTTAACGATTTTTCTCATTTGTTTATATTTGCCATGTGGTGGTATGAATCACAGAGTCGGCACTGCATTTCCACATGTAAATGACTCACGTCGAAGAGCGCGAGAGTGTGAATCCATCCAATCGTAAATTGGTAAATACATACATACACATGTATGCATACATGCACATGCATATGTGCATCCATAAATATTTGAGCATTCATTTAGCTATGCTGCGTTTATTTGAAGGCCGCTCAGTGCTTCTAATTCAAGCTGAATGTGGTGGATCGGCAGCTGATAAGCTTGTTGCCCATTCAAGCTTGGCGTTGAGTGAGTTTATCAGGCGATAGCCGTAAAAAGACGGAAGACAAGCAGAGAACAAGAAACCAAAAGAGAGACACATATAGATAGCGAGCGTGAACGCTAGAGAGCTGCTGGCGTAATGTACCAAAACTGGTACATAAACTACTCAATGGTACATTGGATCTTGGAATTGGTACATTTTAAATGGCAAATAAAATGTGAATTTGCTATATTAAATAAAAAGGTTTACATGATAAAATTGTTTAAAATTAAATCTCAAATAAATTGGCTTAGGTAACTCAAAAATTATATGGAAATTGTACGTATGTATATATAGCGCGAGTGGTACACTTAGCGTGTCTTGTCTTTTGGTACAAATATTTTTCAAGTGGCGACTGTTGCCAGTGAGCACCTCGGATTGCGCTCTACGAGTTGAGCAAGTGTATTGCATGCCGCTCTCACTCGCTCTCTGCTCCAGTACGTATGTATGAATGTGTGTTACATATCGCGCGCTCACTCTTTCGCTTACATACTGCCGCTGCCGTTGTTCTAAGCTTTCAGTCGTTTGCCCAACGCCAGTGGCATTTTGTGCTTGCTGCCGCACGCAATGTGAATTTTTGTGGGCACAGACCGCGCTTGTTGTTATTGTTGTTGTTTGCTAACTGTTTACCTTTTAGCAAGTGTTGTGCTGTTGTTTTTTGTTACTTTTTGGCAAACGTCGCTCTGTCATGTCCGTTAATCATGACTACGATCGCAAGTATTTGCGCAGCTTACGCGGAATCTCCAAGATCATCTGCTTGGTATGTAATTGACTGGCCACGCCCACAAAGGAACAAAACTCTCATCTTCTGTGCTACTCTTTCAGCTGTGCGGCTTCATTGGTTTCCTCTGCATCGTGTGCAGCTCGGTCCGGCTGAGCAACTTTCGGGGCTGCTTCTACATAATCGTCGTTCTCCTTGGCTTCGTAGTGACGCTGACGCTTGTACTCTGCCGCTACCTGCGGCTCGGTCAGAACTGGAGATGGAACTCAACGGCATGGTCGCTGCGTGTGCACGCGACCCTGGCTCTAACCCATTTCATAGCCTCCGGCTTCGTGCTTGGCCTTAGCGTTGGTGCCTATACGGCCGCCGCGGTGAGTAAACTGTTTCTGCTCTCTTTTACGACAACACACACAAACATTCATTCATACATACATATTATAACTCATGTTGTTCGGCTCCTTGCAGTTCTTTGGACTGACGATATTTAGCATTAACAGTCTGGAGGCCTATGGCTGTTATAAACGCACTTGCCAGCGCGATGTGGCTACCCAGACGGTCTAGACGCTGCCTCACTCCCCCCCTCCGATCAAGAGGCTGTGTGGACGCGCTTAGCTAGGCGCTATTTGTATTATCTTAAGCTAGTGTCAATTGAATGTGTGTGTGTGTATGTGTCTGAGTGTCTTGTGGAATAAAGTCATAAGTAAGCTAGTTAAGCTAAAAATCACATAAGTTATTGTTCAGTGTCTTTTTGTGGCCCGATAAGCTTATCAATTAGATATAGATAAAAGGCAGCAGCAGAGTCTAACTGTAAACGCGCTCAGTTATCGAATTCGGCCAGCAATGCGGGCAGAGCGCAAAGCAGAAACAAAACTGCGCTTTATCCATTATGTCATGAAAGCGTGCGACTGCAAGGTGCCAAATAACAGAACATGAACGCGAAAGAGGGAGCGCGAGCAAGAGAGAAAGAGAGTAAAGAGAGTGTGGAGAGCGAGGGCTGGAGACTTTAAATATGAATATGAAAGAGACAGCAGGCAGTGCAGTATATGACCCAATCAAAGCTTTTATATATGACATATAACACTTGCTGCACTCAGACATAAATATATCTAAATATAGTTGTAGTATATTCGTTGCCTTCAGTAAATAAGTCTACTATTAACGCCTATTTGTGCAAATCTTATTAAGTTTGAACTTTTTAACTTATTTTCTGGCCTTCGCCCCAATTGTCTGTCTGTCAACTGATTTGGCCTCCAGCACTGAACAACAGTTAAAGCTCTCTGGGATTGTAGTCTCCAATTCTCCAATGAGTCGCACAGGCGACGTCTGCTGCCATTGTTAACTTTTGTAAATTTGAACTTATGCGTTAACCTGCCTCTAACTCTACACGCTGTTTACTTCACACAACGCCGCCCGCCCCGTCGCGCTCCGCCTCCTGCCTTGCCAACACTTTTTGCATAATTTACCTTGAGTTTCTTGCTGCTGTTGTTGCTGTAACTTTTGTTAGCAGTTGATGAAGTTTTTGGCTGGTCCAACGTCTATTTAAAGCTTGTTTATTTATGTTATTGTTACAGTTTATTGTTGTTGTTGTCTGCCGTCTGCCAGAGTCGCAATTCTGCTAAGCACCTCGCTTACGTCTATGCCAGTGTGTGTGTGTGTGTGTGTGCGTACATAGTATATTTATTAATTTAATGAACTGCGCCATATCTCAGTGCATTTTATGTGCTTAACCCACCCCCTCCCGCTCAGTTTAAAGCGCAGCTTACTCTCTTCTGTGTGTGTAATTCAGCTTGTTACAGATTAACTTGCCTGCTGCTGAAGCTTATCAACTGAAAGGAGCAAGCAGGCAGCTCTCTTAAATTTTGTACAAGTATGCATGTGTGTGTGCGTTTGTCGTAGTAAATAAGTAAGAGCCACTCGCAAAATGCTGCTTTAACTGATCAATCTTCAGCAAGGCTGGGGTCAAGGAGGATTTAAGAGAGTGGCTGAAGGAGAGGGAAGGAGAGAGAAGGGTTTTCTGACTAGTTGATGCCGCTGACTGAACGCGCACGCCTCATGAATCATTTGGTGGGCGTGGCCAAAGAAGCATTTAATCATTACTCATACAATTCGCCGGCTGCCAATAGAAAACAAAAGCGTACAGGGTATATAGCATTATGTAAGCACAGGCAACTACGAAACACCCAACCCGCCCACTGCAGCACTGAGCACTCGCTCAGTTGACTTTCCCATTCAAGTCACGCAGAGTGAAATTAATTAGCCCAGTTGGCCAGCTGGCCAGTTTGGCAGCCCGAAATGGAAGCGTGCCTACGACTATTTATGGCTCTAATGGGTCGCTGCATCAGCGGCCTCAATGCCAATGACAATGACAATTCCAATGATCATGATAATTGATCATGATCGCGATCAAAAAGAGTCGATCTCTACATATACCCAGTATATCCATTGAAAAAGGGTATATTGATTCGTTAGTCACCAACGAGCTGAGTCGATCTATACACGTTAACAAATATCGCATGCATAAATATTAAAAATTACAAATATGGTGTATATAGGAAATCCAATTCGATAGAGTATATACCCATTGACAATGAGAAAAATAGGGTGTAAAGATTTAGTTTAATTATAAAGCCTAAAGTTCAACTTAAGTCGTGTGAAGTGCATAAAAGAATTACAATATCGATAATTCTCGATAAATATCGTTGCTCAGCTAATTTCGCAATCCGTGCCGAGTCAGTTCCCTTGAATTGAGATATAAGTCAAAATTGCAATTGCAATCTTTAAACTTAAACGGATTAAGGTTAATTGATTATCGAAATAAATTTAAATCACTTTCGGCTTAGCCTCTTAATTTTTAGTTCGTTCTTTTATAAATCGCTGAGTCATGTTTTACAATCAACAAAAAACAAAAAAGTTAATAAACTAAAGCCCCATTTGATTGCACAGAACATTGATTTTAATTAGTTTTAGGTACGTGTTCTTCCGTGGTTCGTGGTTTTCCTACTCGCTCTACTTATCGAATAACCCACAGCAAGGCGTAATTATAATTTAATGTTGTACAACAACTAATTTGCTGCAATTAGTTACTTTGAGAATAATCTGTTAAAATCAAATGAGGGTCAAATATCATGGACTAAAGCCATTTACTATGTGTAACATAATACCATGGCATACCCACGCTCGCAATGCCCACGGGGTATGCCGAATTGCTTGCTGCAATGGGTATTTGACTTACTTGTATCAACTGTTACATTGACAACGCAAACAATAGATAGTAAACCACTGTAACATGTTGACGCTTATGTAGCGGTAAATTGCTTAAAGCAGACAGTGGACTAAGTAAGAGCGCGTGCCAATAGAAGTTGCATGCGCGAGCAGCTAGAAGTAGTGGTGTCAGAAACAGACTAACAGCAATAAACATGCATATGCATAACTGTTAACAACGCGTCGCTGTCTTCTTCTCTTCACTTAAATTTACTGTGAGTTCTAGCACTAATGTAAGAAAGTGACAGGAAACAATTCCTATATACAAACATACAAGTGTCTCTCTCTTTATCTCCCTCTCTTTACTTAATTTCCATGTGCTTTGCTAAACTCTTGAGAGTGACAAAATCTCTTTTGAAGATTTTGACAATGCCAAGTCTACAAAATTTAATTTCTACACATCAGCTGCCATTGGTCATGGCAAAAAAACCGTTATATAAAGTGTAAATTATAAATTTAGAGCGTACAATATGATAATGGAGTATTAGCTATTTGAACGCCTTTGGCATTTGACCAGTGCAAACAAAGTGAATTCGATCAGACGCCAGAACACTTACAATTAAATGTCAAAATAACAAACATTTACAAAGTGCGGAAAATCGCAGCGCTCGCGGGCGCAAGGCGACCAGGGGCCAAGTGGTGGGCGGACGCGTTTAATTAATGAAATCATTTTCAAATCAAGCGCGCATTTAATCAAAGCGCCCCATTCAGGCGATGCTATTTGTCTGTCTCTGCCTGTCTGCCTGTCCGCCTGTCCGCCTGTCTGGTCGCCCCCTATGTCCACTGTGCGTCATTTGTTGTGTCCTTAGCTTAGATCTGATCCGTCCCCTGCCGACGTCTACTCTTTCCACTTTGCGGTCGGCAGTTGGTAAATGGAGCATTCCAAAGTGTTGCCCGCCTACAAATCGCTGCCACAACAATGCGCCCGAAGTCCGGCGCACGCAGGATGCGATGGCCAATGGACGTAATGATAGCGTTTCCTGCCGCAATTGCTGCCGCCAGCCGCCTCCTGCTCCTGCTCCTGTTCATTGTTCGCCTCATTATCCGTTTATTGTGGCGTTTGTTGCTGTCGCTGCTGGCTGTTATTATTTTTAGAATTGACATATAATCTCTGGTTGCATTTAATGGACGTCCATGTTCCTTTGGCTCTGTCCTCGACCAGCCAATTCAGAGTTAATTAATTGCATCAATCAACATTTTAATAACCTGCTCTCTCACTCCCCCACTATCTTCTACTCTCTATCTCTCCATTCTCCCTCCCTTAGATGGATGTTTCATCTCAAGAACCAACTTGACTTAACTTTTGTCATCTGTCAGACTCTGTTTCGCCTAAGTTTTGAAGTTGAAGTTGGAGAGTTTTGGTAGAGCAATGCCCGACTAGAAGATACTCTGACTCTGGGTTCAAAATCAGTTGTTAGCCAGGCAAGTTTACGGTTTTGTGCGTAGATCTTTATATAGTAGATCTATAATTTAAAGTATCTTATTATCTTGAGATGATACGTCAATTTCAATATTTGATTAACAAAATTTAGACTATGAAACTTATCTATTACTTAAAAAAAATATATATATATTTAGTAAAAAATATATTTTTTCTTAAGTTGAGTTAGGCATTTAGTACCTTACTATATAAAGAAATTAATATTTTCAGATCCATGGTATTATTTTTGATAAATATCTTTAATTTCGAGAGTAAGTCATCTTAAATAAGTTGAAATTTTTTTCAGTGCCCAGGCAAGTTTTTGTATATCTCATCTGAAAATCTCGTGTGACTGAATATGCTTATGCCATGTGCTGAACACCTCTCTGGATTATATGGAGTATCTGATTTTGCAGTATCTATAGAGAAGGGTCCAAAGCTCCAATCATTTTTAACCAGTTCCAGAATGCCAGAATCCCTTTCGCTTCCTTTAAATATGTTTATTACTTAGATGTATATATTATCTATTATATATGAGCAACCCCTGCTTCAAGGTCTTAGACAAATGCATTCTAATAAAATTGTAAGCTAAATTTTATTATTATTTTTTGTTTTTTTTTTTTGTAAATTTTGTTAATAATATAAATTTTGGAATCAATTCATTTTGTGTTTGTCTTCTAGCATAGCTAACAAAAGCTTTAAAGTAAGCTTCCAGGTAAAGCTTCATAAGCTCTTCAAAACTTGTCTTGGCCAAGCTTTAGAGCACTTGCTTTTAACGGGTTTTCGTTCCGTTTTCGTTAAGTGCATTCGTTGAGTTGCAAAGCACAACTTTTGAGCTTAAACTAAACGAAGCGATAAAAGTCAGCTTTAACGTGGATTTTGCAAAGCTTTTATGTAAAGCTGCAAAGCTTAACTTGTGCGTAGAATAAAAGTTAAAAGTAACAAGTTATGATTATCTATCTTGGTCTATGTCGATATAGATATACTCGTATATAGGTATATGAATTATCGGAAGACATGTAAAGATATATATGTATAGATAT